ATACATATATACATACATACACACATACACACACACACACACACACACATATATATATATATATATATGTATATATATATATATAGTTGTTTGAGGTGTGAATACGTTTTTAGCCTGCTCCTCATGCAGGAGAATTATAATACTGTCATACTCATGAAGCATATCTCGATTTGATTATTTCGAATAAACAAGCGTGTGTGCTAATTAGCACACTATCTCAACTGAAATCCCAGATACCTACACGTCTACTTTGGCATCACAGGCTGTCGAGACCACATGACTGAGGTTGGTGTATATGGCAAGCACTCGTTTGCTACTATGTTTTAGGGTTTTAAAAACCCTATGATAAGCTACACCGCTCATACTTACGCATCTGCATTGGCATCGCAGGCTGTGGTGACCACATAAGTGATGCTGGTGTATATAGACAGCACTTGCTCATCAGAGAGTGTTGCTGTGGCCTCTTGCGGGTGCATGACACTGTGGTAGAGGATCTGAGACATAGATAGAAGTGCGATATTAGAGCAACTGCCAGTACGTAGGTTATAAGGACAGCTTCCAAGGTGTACGTTATAGGGACAACTTCCAAGGTGTATGTTATAGGGACAACTTCCAAGGTGCATGTTATATGGACAAATTTTAAGGTGTATGTTATAGGGACAACTTGCAATAGCTATACCGATGTTATGAAGGTGGCAAGTATGTAAACGAAATCGGATGATCTGCTTGCCAAAAATGTAGGCAAATTAATCAGGAAAATCCACTTGCGGATAACGTAGGTAGATGAGTCTGGAAAATCGGCTTGTGGGATTATGATTGGCTTGGCAGACTAGACTAGAAAATGACAGTGTCAACTCGGTTTTAAGGGTTTAGAGTTTTAGGGGTTTAGGGGTTTAGGTTGGTAGTGGCTTGGAGTGGCATTTTCAATGTACCACCACATGTCATACCGCACATTGCATGTTATGACACCATACTAACTTTACATACAAGCAGTATGTCCACTATTAGTTGTGTATTTGTCCACTGCCTCGTATTATGTAAGCGTAGTCTGTGCAAGTATACAAGCGACTTAAACCCTAAACCCTGCAACCCTAAAGCGTAGTTCAGATGTGTATGGTATGAATCCGTGCATTGGTATTGCCTGCGCTCTCATCTCACCTCATCCGCCAGCCAGTTGCCCAGACCCGCAGCAAACGATTGGTCCAATAAAACGGACTTGATTGGACCCTTCCTTCGACGCAACACTGTTGTAACGTTTTATATATGGTATTGATTTATATAATAGTGTACTCATGTGTTTGGTAGAATTATATATAATATTGCATGCTGTATTGTACTTATGCGTTGTTAATATTGTCTGGTACTGTTTTCAGGTATTGGATATTATTGTCTATATGTACTCGATAGTATTGTATGTATGTATTTCGGAGTATTGTATTTATGTACTGGGTAGTATTCTAATTACGTACTATATGGTATGTTTGTATTTGATAGTATTGTATTTTTATATTACAATGTCTTATGTATGCATTTCTTTCAGTTTGAATTTGACAATGAATAGTACATATATCAGAATATATTCAACAGTATATGGTATATGTTTTGTATATTACGTATTTGTACACTCACGTAAAGTCGTCTTGATGCTGATAAGCATTAATTTGGCAATTGAAAAACGTAAACGATTTAGTTAGATACTCAGAGAACATCAGAGCGACAAGGCACATTGCGTGAACGGATTGAGAATAAATGATCACTTCTGTAGCATGCCTCACTACAACGCTAAAAGAACATACACACTCCCAGCACAAATACGTACACACAACAACACAGACATCTCTAAAGATCACACGTAGACACGCACATACTCGTTCCCAGCACATATACGTACACACAACAACGCAGATATCTCTAAAGCGCACACGTATACGCGCACATACCAACAGGTCACATTTGTACACCTACAGAAATACAGCGCATATGTAACACCCACATACATTGGGAGAACTCGGCCAGAGGTGGCAAGTCCGTGTACGCATCAAAGCCAAGTTTGCAGATTGTCGCACACTTCCACGGATCTATGGCGCAAAGTCGGAGTTTTAGGTATACGCTAACGGAAAAAGTAGTCGATGACTACTGCGCTCACCGGGTGACAGATACACGTATATGTACGCAAACGTTAGGTAGGGTTTAGGATATAGGGTCTCGAATACGTAAAATATGCGGGATACGACGCTGATGAAGCGGGAAAGGAACGAATTGGCAACACTGAAGGTATCGTATTTGGGCCTAATTGTGAGCTGGAGTGTACTAAGCGTAAAAAACCCGATAGCAAAATATATCTATGTTCATTCATAATATATATATATATGTATATATATAATATATTGATATTCATACATATATTATTTTATATTAGTATT